GGCGTTGCCCTATGCGGGCAGCGCTGAACGACCGAAGAGCAGCAAAGCTGGCCTCAGGAACGGCCACCTGGGAGCATGGCTTAGCCATGGAAATGAGCGGGATGAGTAGGAAGAGTGCCAAAATGGCCTTGCCGCGCTGTAGGGCGGCCGTGGCGGAGCGGACCAGGAGGGAGAGGCTGGCGTTGCCGCCAAGAGACTAGGAAGCCCCATCGGTAACGCACGTGACCGGAAAGGGGGCAGGTGAGAGAGCGCCTGTGCTGTGCTGGGCGTCTTGGTGTAAACGTGGTAAGAGGGGAGGGATGAACATATGGGAGGGGGAGGGATTATCTTGTCCAGCCAAGCAACGCTAGGGCGCGGTAGCTGTCAGTAGAGGTACGCACCTCTGACGGGCAGCATTAGCCGAGAATTAATCGGCAGGTGGGATGTGCTGAGGCGGCATCTTTGCTTGCCGCAATATCGACTCGGCCGTGGCGAGTCTGCGAATTGCGCTGTGAGCATTGAGCCGACCGCTCTTCTGGTAGCGTGGCTGCTTAGAAGTGTCGCTATGGCCTGGCCGCAATGTAGCGGCAAGAATGTGTGAAGCTAGAAACTGGTGCTGGCTACATCACTTGAAGCTGGCCCTCGGGATGGGGCTAAAGAAATGAACTGAAGGGCCCGCTGCGACGAGACTGCAGGACGGCTCGGCCGACCTTAAATTGGAGCTGCATAGCTCCTCAGCTGGTGAGATACGGCATGTGGCTGGCTAGGGCTATCTAGGTGGTGGGCTGCCGATGTAAGCAGAGACTAGGGTATTATGCTAGCCCACCACCTATGAAGACTCAGCCGTGGCGAGTCTGCGAATTGAGCTGTGAGCATTAGCCGTCCGTCTTTCTGATAGCGGGGCTATTTAAAAGTGTCGCGTTAGCTGCACTAGTGCGGCAGAGAGGTGTGAAGCTGGAGACTGGTGTTGACTACGACTCTTGCTGCGGGCCCTTGGCATGGGGCTGAATGAAAGAACTGATGGGCCCGCTGCGACGGGATTGCAGGTCGGCTCAGCCGATCTTAAATTGAAGCAGCACGGCTCTCCAGCTGTAAATATTCGGCTCGTGTGGCTGGCTAGGGCTGTCTAGGTGGTGGGCTGCCGAGGTGAACAGAGACTAGAGTACTAGCCGGCCGCTCTGCGGTTGATCGGGAGTTTCTGTATATAGAAGAAGGTGCGTGCGCTTGTTGGCGAGGGTGATGAGGTTCCTCCTCCTCCTCCTCCTCCTCCTCCTCCTCCTCCTCCTCCTCCTCCTCCTCCTCCTCTTGCCTCCGTCTGTCCTCCTCCACCCCGCAGCTCCATCATCTTCTCCTCCTCCTCCTCCTCCTCCTCCTCCTCCTCCTCCTCCTCCTCCTCCTCCTCCTCCTCCTCCTCCTCCTGCTCCTCCTCCTCCTCATTCCTCCTCTGGGCACCTCCCCCGGGGCGCGGATCCACCGGATCTGTCCGGATCTGTCCGGAAACGGTGCCGGATGCCGCTCTGGGCTCCTCTGGGCACCTCCCCCGGGGCCGGTTTTGTGAGGATGTCTCAAGCGAGGGCGCCGGTTTGGGATTCGTCACCGGATCCAGCGGATCCACCGGATCTGTCCGGAAACGGTGCCGGAGGCCGCTCTGGGCTCCTCTGGGCACCTCCCCCGGGGCCGGTTTTGTGAGGATGTCTCAAGCGAGGGCGCCGGTTTGGGATTCGTCACCGGATCCAGCGGATCCAGCGGATCCAGCGGATCTGTCCGGAAACGGTGCCGGAGGCCGCTCTGGGCTCCTCTGGGCACCTCCCCCGGGGCCGGTTTTGTGAGGATGTCTCAAGCGAGGGCGCCGGTTTGGGATTCGTCACCGGATCCAGCGGATCCAGCGGATCCGGATCTGTCCGGAAACGGTGCCGGAGGCCGCTCTGGGCTCCTCTGGGCACCTCCCCCGGGGCCGGTTTTGTGAGGATGTCTCAAGCGAGGGCGCCGGTTTGGGATTCGTCACCGGATCCAGCGGATCCAGCGGATCCACCGGATCTGTCCGGAAACGGTGCCGGAGGCCGCTCTGGGCTCCTCTGGGCACCTCCCCCGGGGCCGGTTTTGTGAGGATGTCTCAAGCGAGGGCGCCGGTTTGGGATTCGTCGGATCCAGCGGATCCACCGGATCTGTCCGGAAACGGTGCCGGAGGCCGCTCTGGGCTCCTCTGGGCACCTCCCCCGGGGCCGGTTTTGTGAGGATGTCTCAAGCGAGGGCGCCGGTTTGGGATTCGTCACCGGATCCAGCGGATCCAGCGGATCTCTGTCCGGAAACGGTGCCGGAGGCCGCTCTGGGCTCCTCTGGGCACCTCCCCCGGGGCCGGGCGAGGGCGCCGGTTTGGGATGTCGAGGGATCCAGCGGATCCGTCCGGAAACGGTGCGGAGGCCGCTCTGGGCTCCTCTGGGCACCCCCCCGGGGCCGTTTTGTGAGGATGTCTCAGGCGAGGGCGCCGGTTTGGGATTCGTCACCGGATCCAGCGGATCCAGCGGATCCGTCCGGAAACGGTGCCGGAGGCCGCTCTGGGCTCCTCTGGGCATCCTCCCCCGGGGCCGGTTTTGTGAGGATGTCTCAAGCGAGGGCGCCGGTTTGGGATTCGTCACCGGATCCAGCGGATCCAGCGGATCCGGGATCTGTCCGGAAACGGTGCCGGAGGCCGCTCTGGGCTCCTCTGGGCACCTCCCCCGGGGCCGGTTTTGTGAGGATGTCTCAAGCGAGGGCGCCGGTTTGGGATTCGTCACCGGATCCAGCGGATCCAGATCTGTCCGGAACGGTGCCGGAGGCCGCTCTGGGCTCCTCTGGGCACCTCCCCCGGGGCCGCTTTTTGTGAGGATGTCTCAAGCGAGGGCGCCGGTTTGGGATTCGTCACCGGATCCAGCGGATCCAGCGGATCCACCGGATCTGTCCGGAAACGGTGCCGGAGGCCGCTCTGGGCTCCTCTGGGCACCTCCCCCGGGGCCGGTTTTGTGAGGATGTCTCAAGCGAGGGCGCCGGTTTGGGATTCGTCACCGGATCCAGCGGATCCAGCGGATCCACCGGATCTGTCCGGAAACGGTGCCGGAGGCCGCTCTGGGCTCCTCTGGGCACCTCCCCCGGGGCCGGTTTTGTGAGGATGTCTCAAGCGAGGGCGCCGGTTTGGGATTCGTCACCGGATCCAGCGGATCCAGCGGATCCACGGATCTGTCCGGAAACGGTGCCGGAGGCCGCTCTGGGCTCCTCTGGGCACCTCCCCCGGGGCCGGTTTTGTGAGGATGTCTCAAGCGAGGGCGCCGGTTTGGGATTCGTCACCGGATCCAGCGGATCCACGGGATCCACCGGATCTGTCCGGAAACGGTGCCGGAGGCCGCTCTGGGCTCCTCTGGGCACCTCCCCCGGGGCCGGTTTTGTGAGGATGTCTCAAGCGAGGGCGCCGGTTTGGGATTCGTCACCGGATCCAGCGGATCCAGCGGATCCACCGGATCTGTCCGGAAACGGTGCCGGAGGCCGCTCTGGGCTCCTCTGGGCACCTCCCCCGGGGCCGGTTTTGTGAGGATGTCTCAAGCGAGGGCGCCGGTTTGGGATTCGTCACCGGATCCAGCGGATCCACCGGATCCACCGGATCTGTCCGGAAACGGTGCTGGAGGCAGCTCTGGACTCGTGCTCTTCGCGCCGGGGGTGAGGATGACGTGAGTTCCACAGAAACTCCCTCAAATTAGGCTAGTCCACCACCTATTGGTTGCGCCGAGGTCGCCCGTGTCGACCTGGGATGGCGCCGGCTGGGAGGCAGCACGCTCTAGGGCCCGCTCATGCACCGCGCGGCTGCCGTGCGGCCGCCGACGCCGCCGTTCGCGCCCTGGCCTCCTGCGCTGCGGCCTGCTGCTGGCTGAAGTGGTCCAGCATCATGGTCTCGACCTCTGAGATGGTCGCCAGGCCTGGAGCCTCTATCCATTCCCAGTCCCAGGTTTCGACGACCTGGCCGTCGATGACGTCGAGCGACTTGAGCTTCCATACGAACGGGTAGAGCATGCCGTTAGGCATCTTCCACTCGCCAGGGTACGTAGCTGGCCACCATTTTTTGAACTCCTTGGTGGCGGCAGTGTACTGGGAGCCCTGCCATGCCGAGCCCGACCGCGTGTCGCCTGGTAGGCCGAAGAGCTCCAGCGCGTTGGGCGGCGCCCTGCCTGGCTCGGCCGCGGCCCCCTGCGGGGGCGTGGTGCCCTCAGTCGCCGCCGAAGCGCGCCCGCCCGCAGGAACCATGGCTGCGTTGCGCGCGCTGAGAGGAGGGGGAGTGCGGAAGGAGCGAAAAGAAATAGCCCATAAGCCAACGGCCAGATATGAGTGAAACATAACTGGCTTATGCGTGCGCCTGGGTGAGGAGGACCCTCCTGATGGGCCGACTGATGCATGCTTGGCCTGGTGCTGGGTCGATAGGGATGAGGATGGTTCCGCTGCGCATGTTGACCCGCAGCGCAAGGCCGGTGCGAAAGGGTATGCCCGTGCCGAATAAAATGGACCGTGCATCGGTCTCCTGAAGAATGGGGAGGTGAAAAAAAGCGCGGCCTCTCCACTGAGGATGGCAGCCGGGTCTCCTGCCCGTGGAATTGCTCCATTAGGAGTCCTACATTGATGGGCAGTGGAGACCAGAGCGGAATGTGACCTGCCGTGATCACTACCAGCCACTGTACGACTGTAGGCTGCGGTGGCACGGCCTCAGTGGGTGCGCAGCGGACGTCGCCGTGCTCGAACTGCGGCAGGTGCTGCGCATCTGGGGTCGGCATGGCTTGAGGGGCTATGGTTCAGGGAGGCGGAGGATTCGAGAGAGGTAGGACAACGGAAGGCAAAATGGCCGCACCAGGATCATGGCCTGGAAGTCAATTAGGATGGGGCTGCCAGCCGCTGCATCCTCCAAAAGACGTTGAGGGATGAGGAGGAGGAGGAGAAGGAGGAGGGAGACTTCCTCCCTGGTTCTGGCGGGCGCAGGGGGTCAGCGCCCGGGGGGGGACTGCCAGGCTCGGCCACCGCTCTTCGCCGCGCACCCTGCGGCTCGGGAGGGGCCGCGGGATCGGACGGGTGCAGAGGCGGGGTCACCACCAGGAGGGTCGCCACCTCATCCTGGACATCGAGGGTCGAGGAGGGGAGGATCGAGGATCCTGGAGGAGGGAGGATGAGGATCGAGGAGGTTTCGGATATTGCTGGGCTGGGGCGTCTTTGGGAGCCCTGTGGGCGTCATGGTTGCTCCGTTTGGGGGGGCGGGGGGCGGTCGTGTCCTGGAGGTGGTGGCGACACCGCTAGTGGTGACCCCCTTTGGCATTGCGCGGGTGGAGAGGAGGTGCTTGGCGGGCACACAGACCTCCTCGCGCCGCGAACAAAGTATGGCGGATGATGCTGTTGCCTTTTTGGGCACCCTGGGGGCCCGCAGTGGCCCCCAGAACCACCCGAAGGCGGCCCCGGACGAGAGCAGTTGCCCCGGCGAAGTGGTCCAGACCTCCGGGCGTCCGCGTTGTGAGTGGCACCACGACCTCGGGGCTGGTCTGGTCGGACGGGGCTAGGACGAGGATGAATCTGCTCCAGAGCGTTCCGGCGCGCTTTCAGAGCGTTCTGGAATGCTCCGAGGAGGCCGCGGCGCCCGATACACGATACATCCCCCAGAGCCGAAGGATCTCAGAGATTCTCGATTTATCCGTACCCGATTTCATCCTCTTAGCTTCGTCTTATCTGGGGCTACAGGGGTACCCTCATGCTTTTCGTCTTTGGGCCTTCCACCCTGGAGTGCTGCTGGTTCGGGGCACCTCCACGAGGCCCCTGGCCTTTTTGCAAACGGGGCTCATGGCCGTGACCCGCGCTCTTGTGGTCGTGTATCGACCGTCCCCAGACCTTCGACGTGTTCGTGTCGATGCGCTTGTTGTTGATATCGGCGTCTGGGGGCCTGTTCGGGCCCCACAACACAGAGAGCCAACGAGAGTCGAGGCACAAATGTGAATGTAAGTGTGATCAGTGTTTTGCTCGTCCCAGTGGTTGGGTATTGAGTCTCTGCCAAGGGGTTAAGTCGGGCGTGTCCCTCTACAGGAGGAACATTCAAAAATAGTTTTAAAAATAGTCTGGAGACAGTTTTCGACAAGTTTTGACAATGTTTGATCATGGTTTGACTAGTTTCTTAATTGTTCGTCCAACATCCGTCTGTTGGGGGACATGCCCGACTGAACGCTAGAGCTTGCTCAGCTACTCGAGCAAATTGGAGCAAACATGCTACGAACTACGGTAACGATAATCATGGTGGCCCAGGGGCCGATCCGGGCTCCGAGACACACTCGTAATGTCCTGAGGCGAAAAACGGCCCCCGGATGGGAATGAGTCGGGAGAGATGGGCGCCCGCGTTGCGAATTTAACGCGGTGTCGGAGGTCTGGGAACGGCGCTTTGGAGGAGGACCAGCATCATCAACAACAGCATAATCCGAGAGGTGGAGGAGGAGTGCGGGCAGGAACATGAGTGTCGTAATCAGTCACTTGTCACTTGCGCAATGCTGCGTACCTGCGTGAATCACCATACATATACCGAGAGGACCACTCTTCGGGTGATACGGAGGCTGAGGGGAGGGGTGCAGCTCTCGGAATGCATCCTACCCTCACCAATCCTAGCACAGTGTAGACCACAATATTCTAACCTAGCGCAACCAAGCTCTGCCCTTCACTACCTTAACCTGGCTCACATTTCGGCCGCCTGGTTATTCTTCCTGGGAATCCTCACAGTTTTCAGCCCGTCGCGAGGCTCACTCCGCGGGTTGCGCTGCCCGCCCAAAGATGCGGGCATGGTGCACTAACAGGGATTGGCGCAGTCCAGCGGTCAGCAAAGGCGGTGAGGGCACGGAGGATTGGGCACGGACCAGGAGTTGGAGGAAGCAGAGGAGGAGGATGAGGAGGAGGACGATGACGAAAGAGGCAGATGCGGAGAACAGCATGGCTCGGGAGGAAGAAGCGGAGGTGGCGGAAGAGGAAGGTATCGAAGAGGATAAGCAGGAGGAGGACGACAACGACGACGAAGGCGGCGGCGGCAGCGACGACGACGAGGACGGTGACGGCGGCGACGACGGCGGCGGCGGCTGCGACAACGATGACGGCGACGACGACAGGGATGATGACGACAACGACGACGACGACGACGGCGGTAACGATGACGGCGACGACGACGACGACGACGGCAACGACGACGGGTCTGCGGCGGCGGCGACGACGACGACGGCGGCGACGGCGGGCCTGCTGCGTCGCCGACGACGATGGCGACGGCTGAGGGCGGCGGCGGCGACTGCGACGACGACGACGGCGCCCTGCGCGGGCCAGGAGCCCCGAGCGAGCCCCCGCCCAGCGCTCGCCGCCGGGCAGCCCCGGCGCGGGGCGGCATCGCCCGTGCGGCGCCGCGGGTCACAGCGCGGAGGCCGCCGCTTGCCGCCACCCTTCGCCGTCGCCCGCTGCCGTCGCCGCCGCTGCCCGCTGCCGTTATGCTGCCGCGGCCGCTGCCGCCGCTGCCGCCGCCGCCATCCGCCGCCGCCGCCGCTGCCGCCGTCGTCCGCCGCCGCCGCTGCCGCCTCCGCTGCCGCCGCCATCCGCCGTCGCCCGCTGCCGCCGCACTGTCCAGCTACCGCCGCCGGCGTCGCCACCGCCGCCGTCGTCGCCGTCGCCGGGCAACCCTATTCAGGGCGCGAGGGGGATCCGTGGTCCCGGGGTGGCACGGATGCTGTGTATTCTGTAATGCTGACCCGTGGAGCGCGGAGCCTCTGCGCGGAAGTGAATCGCGAATCGATTGCGGTTTGGATTTGAGAGTTCAGGCGCCCTCATCGCCGATCAGGGCAGGCCAGCGTATCGAAAGAGCCATACATCGCCGAACAGGATGTTTCATCTATCTATCAGTGCCCTCACCGCCGAGCAGGATAGTGGAGCGTATTCGTCGGATCGCCCTTTTGGGTACCAGAGGAGTTCCAAGAGGGCGCCAAGCGGGCGCCACGACAGTCTTAGATGGCTCCTGAGAGCTCGCAGCACGGCCCAAGAGTTTTCCGAGAGGCCGAGGAGATCCACAAGAGGCTCCAAGAGAGCCCCATTAGATGAGCCAAGAAAAGCACGAGACAGCCCAAATCGTCCAACCAGATCCAACGTTTTTGTCACTAGGGGTTGCTTCGTCCCAATCTCAGCTCAGTGCAAACTGAAACGGGCTCTGTGGAGCTCACAGATTGCACACTGGGGCCTCGATATGCGCTCAGGATAAACTTGAGCGGGCCCTGATAGGCCCACAAGATGGACCCAGAGAATCTCCTGAGGGGTCCAAGACGGTCTCAAGACAGCCAAAGGGAGTCCCAATGTGCCTCCCTGCGTGCCCATCATCGGTTTTGCAAATCAGCATGTCCTTGGGGACGCGGGCGCATCGCTCTTTGCGGCGGGTCGTGGCTTCAGCGAGCGCGCCCGCGCTGTGTCTTGCCAGGGGTTTGTTGTTCGGGCTCGAGGAAAAAACGCGCGGACCCGATCACTGGTGTTTACTAAACGGCCCTGGGCGTTTACTACACAGCCTTGCCCTGTTCGATACCTTTCTCGGGGTGCCTTTACTAAACGGCTTCGCGTGTCGGGGTGAGTATTCACGAATTTTGGCTCCAGCGATTTGGGCTCTGGGGCTCGGTCTGCTGGAGGGTGAGATGGAGGCGCTCCGAGACCACTCCCAGGCAGCGCTCGCGGCGATCGGGCGCCAGTACCCGCCGCTCGTCGCGTGGCTGCGCGCCTTCCCCGTCTCCTCCTGGCCCCTGACGCTGGGCAACGCCGCGCTGATCTGGCTCGGCCTCTGGATCTGGTCCCCGCTGCGGCGGCCGAGCGTGCCTCGCTTCAGCGGCGCCACGACCGAGGAGGTTCGGCGGGGGCGCCTCACGAAGCTGCGCAGCACCTGCAAGCTGTTCCCGCCGCCCTACCCGAACGGCTGGTACTTCCTGTGCCGGTCGTCCGACGTGCCCCGGCGGCAGGTCCAGGGGCAACCAAGCGGCGTGGTGGCCACACCGTGTGGTGAGTCATTGGAGCCCGTTCTTTTCGACCCAGGCAAGTTTACTTGCATGGACGGGGGGGGGGGGCTTGAACCTGAAGCAAGCCACAAGCGACCTGCACGTGCGGACGTCACGCAAGACGAAAGGCACTTCCGCGGTAGTTTTCGTTTGAAGAGGGGCGAGGGGGGGGGGTGCGAACGCCATGCAAGTAAACTTGTCTGAATCGTTTTTTTAGAAGCTCCTGAGGATTCGGGGTCACCGCACGGTTCTGGGACTCAGGTCGTTCTCCGAGGATGTCTGGGGCGACTGGGGCACCCGGGGTCTGCGCGCCCAGGCCCGCTGGACCGAGTCGGCGCGGGGCCGCGCAGGGTGTCGCTCCGCCGTTGCGCCCTCTCCCCCGCCTCCCTGCCCCTCGTCGTCCTCGTCGTCTTTGTCGGCTGTTCCTCATGGAGGGTGAAGGAACCCCTAACCCTAATATCACGATGACGACGTAGCCTCACTGTGGTCCCCGTCTTCGCATTAGGCATGATGATCCTGGGCGGTTTGGTTGATACACCTGCAGAACAGACTCCCTATCCCTAATGTTCCTGGTTCTCCTAACTTAGGTCCCCTCCCACAGGGTTTGGGTTGTTTTTTCAATCATCACCCCCTCGTCGTCCTCGTCGTCTTTGTCGGTCGCTCCCTTCGCCTCGCCGCTTGGCTCTTGTCGCGTCGGTCAAGAGAAAGTGCGGTGAGGTCCTCTTTGGAATTTCGAGGTCCCCGCACGGTCTGCCAGTGCGCGGCGTTGGGACCCCACCGGCACTCGGCACGATCGAGTTGGGTACGAAAAGCATCGGGAACCACAAAGACCGTCAGCAGCCCCTGTCAATGTACACGACTCGCCGTTGGCGTCACCGCAGACGTTGTGCATTCGAGACAGGAGGACGCTTGCCCAACAGCGGGCGCCGCCTTTTGTTGGACAACGTTCAGGAGGGGAAAAAACACACAGACACAATTAATTGCCGATTTCCAAGAAAATATGGGAAAATATGGGAAGTGGGGGGGAAGACAGAAACCTAGAAAATATGGGAAAATATGGGGAATAGTTTTATTTGTGTGTATTTATTTGTGTGTCCTGGGGCCCCTTCAAACGTGTGCTGCTGGACATCGCACCCGCTTTTTGTTCCGTACCCGCTGCGGGCGTCCCAGAGCAGGTCCTCGCCGTCTCCGCCTTCGGGCGGGAGCTCGTGGCCTTCCGCGGCGAGAGCGGCGCCCTGGGCGTGCTGCACGCGTTCTGCCCGCACCTGGGGACGCACCTCGGCCACGGCGGGTGGGTGAACGGCGAGACCATCCGGAGGAGGGCCAGCTGAGGCAACGGAGCGGTGGGGGCGTTGGTTCAGGAATCTGCCCAGGAGGCTCCAGACGGCAGGATTCGGATCTGATTGAGTCGACTTCACTATCGGTCTCACGATCGACCGCACTTTCCTCCTCACCCTCGACCCCACGGTCCCACTATCGATCTCACAATGGATCTCAAGATCCAGATCATTAATTTTCAAACCACCCACTGATTGGGGCTTCTCTTTAGTGTAATATGATGAGGGCGGTGGTGACATCCATGGCCAGGCCTCAACTGGTGATCCACCGGCTTCCAGACCCTGGATTCCTCGTCCATGGGTTCCCTATGCAGTGCCCTCGCCGCAGTTCGCGGCGGCGAGCCCCAGAGGGGAAGTAGAAGGGGGGCGGGCATCTCAGGAGGCCCAGACTGCCTTCTCCGAAGACGCAGACGGCGTTTCGCAAAGCCGGAGAGGCGCAGCTCCGGAAGTTGGTGCGTTTGGACCCTGGAAAAGGGGGTCTGGCTGCTGTTTTTCAGCGCCGTCGTCTCAGCTCGCGCTGCTCCGGACCATCGTCTGCCCGTACCACTCCTGGGCCTTCGACCAGACTGGCGAGTGCAAGCAGATCCCGTACTGCGAGCGGGAGCTGGGGAACTACGGCCGGCGGATCTCGAACACACAGTACCCGCACCGGGAGGTCCTCGGCCTCGTTCTCGTGTGGTGGCATGCCGACGGCGAGGCGCCGAGCTACGAGCCCACGATGCTCACGGACATAGAGGCTCTGAACCTGCGTTTCGTCGGGGACTTCCACGTCCCCGACTGGCACATGCACATCGCAGAGACGTCGCAGAACGGCTGCGACTGGTACCATTTCCGCACCGTGCATCAGTGGCTCTATTCGAGGGAAGATTCGTTTTTCAAGCCGATCTGGGTCCGCCATCAGTGCAAGACTTTCATGGCGGGGAGCGGCGACAAGGAGGTAGACGGATCGGAGATCCCGAAGGAGGTGCTGTTTTTGCAAGAGGACCCGGTGATTGTGAAGCTATTCGGCGTTATCCCCGTCCCTGGGGTGCTCTTCCGGCACTGGAAGTCCGAGGCCCGCTTCCAAGGGCCGCAGCTATCCGTCTTCACGGTTTCCAGCCGTTACTTCGGGACCGTCAAGGTGGTCTTCACTTTTACTCCCGAAAAGCCGTTCCGGCAGCGCTGCCTGGTCAGAGCCTTCTGCACGCGGGGGTTCCCGCAGAAGCTGGCCGAGTTTTTCGCACGCGCCAGCATCGCAACCATAGAGCAGGATCGCAAGGTATGGGAAAACAAGCTCACGATCAGCCCCCGGAATCTCGTGCAGGGCGACGGGCCCTTTGCCGCCTACGGCACCTGGCTGAAGCAGTTCTATTCCGCTTCTTCCGTGCAGTGGGGCGACGAGTCCCTCGAGTGGTGAGCCGACGTTGCGTCCAGCGCCAAGCAATGGATCTTTCCATTGGACGAGGAAGGAGGTCCTAGATCCTGGACCCTCCCTTCTCCTCGCCCACCTCCCCCCTCTTCCCTCATCTCTCGCCCCTTCGCTGTCCTGCTGCCTCCTTTTCATCCTGGTTTCCAGTCTTCCTCCCACTGGCTCCCCTCCCCGCCCTCACCCTTCCAGGAGGGCGTGGAGAGGGGCGGTGAGGACGAGGACGGGGGAGAAGGAGGGATGCGGCAGGAGGGATGATGAGGAGGATGTGGAGGCAGTGGACTTGGCGGAAAAAGAGAAGGAGGCGGAGGAGGAGAAAAAGGATGACGAGGGAGAGAGGGAGTGGGAGTAGAAAAAATACAGAGGAGGAAGGGGAACTACGCACTTGGGAAGAAGGAGGAGGAGGAGGAGGAGGGACGATTGAGGAAGGAGAGGAGGAAATATAGGGAGGATGTTGATTAGGAGCAGTAGCTAGGAAAGGAAGGATGGAGGGTGGAAGAGGGAGGGAGAGGGAGGGAGGGAGGACGAACATCAGTACGTAAGAGGACGATGAATATGGAGGAGGAGGCGCAAAGAGAAATGGTGTAGAGCACGGGGGACCAGCAGGCGGAAGAGGAAGGAGGGAGGGAGAACAAATGTTGGAGGAGGTTATGGGAGAATGGGTGGATTAAGTGGATGGGGGGGAGGCCTGGAGGAGAAGACCCAGACCACGCGCGACTGGAACTGTTTGGTAATGGATTCCAGTCGCGCCGAATGTCTGTCGCGACCAGAGGGGGTCGAATTTCGGTATAAGGGGAGACGGCGCGTCGGGTTCCCAGCGAGGGTTTTGAGGACGTCGACGGCTCGTTCGTTACCGAAGTTCGCCAGCGGATGCAGAATTTCGGTCGCGACGGATTTGTCCAAAGGGGTCCAGGTATCTGCGGTAATTGATGATCTGGGGAGGAGGATGAAGAGGAGGTGTTGGAGGCACGTGAGGAGGAGGGAGACCAGGGAGCGGCATGGGTCTGGGGCACGAGAAGTCGGAGTGGAATGGGGAGGAGTTACATGGAAGGCGAGGCATTTTCTGGAACGCCCCCAGCGTCCCAGAAAAACCACCCGGACCCGACAATTGGCGTTTACCGAACGGCCCTGGGCGCTCACTAAACAGCCCTGCCCTGTTCGATCCCTTCCTCGCTGAACGGCTTCGCTTGTCGGGGCGATTATCATGGGGTGGATTTTCTTCCCTCTACAGAATGTGCCTCGCTGCCGGGGAGCCGAAGGAGCCGAAGGAGGTGACCACCCCTCCGGTGGACGGCTGGCGGAGACAGGCGGAGGTGAGGGGGGGAGCCGGCTTCGCCGGCGGAGGCTGGCGGGCAGAAGGACCTTATTGGGCCCAGTAGTGCCTGGCTGGGCCCGCCGCAAGACATCCAGTTGACTGCTCGAGAGTGCAGCGTTGGTAAAGGGCAGAAGAACCAGCCCTCCCAAGCGGCACACGTTTGATGGGCCCATTTTCCACCGCCGCTGCCATACGTAGGGCGTGGGAGAAAGGAGGATGGGGAGGTCCTCCTCCTCCTCTCCTCCTCCTGCTCCTCCTCCTCCTCCTCCTCCTCCTTCTCCTCCGCCCTCTCCTACCTATGGTAGCGGTCGTGAAAAATCTGCCAATCAACGTTCTTGGGGGGTCCCATCAAAGGCCCCCAAAAATATGTACACCTTTTGGCATTGATCGAAGAATAATCAATGGCATTAACATAAACCTTTGGCGCTCCGCGCAGATTTCTTGGATTCGCGCTTGGACCCCCCTGGCGGCGGGACCCCCCTGGCGCCCGTGTGGCACTTCGGGCGCTTGGGAGGGGGGGCAGGCGCATGTCCAAGAAATCTGTGCGGAGCGTCGAAGTTTATGATTGTGCCGTCTTTTTTCCTCTAATTGAGGGTGTCTGGAACGAGCCTTCACCATCCGCCATCAAGTCTTCCTCCAACTCGATCCCCTCTCCCTCCTCCCAGATGGAACACTCCAAAGCTGAGCATCCTTATAGTATAAGTTATACGAGGTGCGAGGGCGCCCCGTCAGAAGGGCAGCTTTTGAACATCCACTGGCGACCAGAGCGCCCAACATGGGAGATCCAGTGGAGCGCTCGGACGCACTGTCGCGCGCCGGTGGTTTTTGTATCCTCGATGGCCCGCGATGGGGAGCTGAGGCCCGCGGTCTGTTGCCAGCCAGGCCGAGGGGATGGATGAGGAAGCTCGGAGCTCACGTGACGGGGGCCAGCGCTGGCCGGGGTCAGCACATGCTTTCCGAGATCCCCTGGCTGACCCCGGTTTGGCAGCCACCCGGGGCCGACCCCGCTCCCTCGCCCTGCGTCTGGCCATGTGCGGGAGCTGCTTCGTGGCCGGCGGGGCTTCAGGGCAGGGCCCTGGCCGACACCCAGATGTGTGCTGCCCCGGACGAGCGCGTGCCCGAGGAGAGTGCGATGAGGAAGCGGCCAGGGTCTGGTCAGGCGATCGCAAGCATGGATCCAGGGGGCGGGGATTAGCGACGGGTCCCGTTCCCATGGGAGATCGCAGATTCCCGCCGCCGAGCGAGGCGGCACCGGCCGCATTTTGGGGAGGGTGCCTCCCCCGATCCATGGATTTGGAGACCGCGCGCCAAATCCATGGATCGATAATCCATGTTTGCGCGCCCCAGATCTAGGGCGTGTGTATCCCCTTTGTCGGGGGCATGTTGCTGGCAGTCTGCAAGGCTTGCCGAGGAGATTTTGTGTCCATTTGGCGCTAGCTGTTAGTTTTGGTGCCGCGGCGTTCCCTGTTGGCCGGTTGGTCCCTTGATTTGCACAGGCAGTCGCCGCGTTCTCCTGCCCTTCATAAAAACAGTAACATTGTTGGTGGCGATTTGGCAGCGGAGAGCTTGTTCCTACTGCTACTCGTGGGTTGCAGTCGACAGAAACGGCGTATTCCAGACTTACGGTCGTGAATTTTAACTTAGCGTGTCGCGCCGCTGGTTCTGGCCCGCAGTGCTTCGGCGCTAAACGATATCCACATCCTAGTCCCCGAACGCCAACGTCCCGAGCTCTTCTCCGCCTTTCCGCCCCGTCCCGAGGAGCGTTGCGACACGCTATCCCTCGCAGGGCATAGCGTGTCGCCGGGGCCGCAGCCGCGACACGCTAGCAAAGTTCCCGACCGTAGTACGTGCGAGTCGGATTTCTGATGTATGCCGACCTCCCTGCTGCATGCCTGTTGCACCAAAGTCCGGTTCAAATGGTGCAAGCCACTTCATGTCGCGTGGTGCGTGTCTTGCGGCTCATGAGCTCCTGCAGGTATTGTGAAAGGTCAATGCCGTTTTTCTCACAAGCCGAAGAGGATTGCCAGAGGGAGATTCTACTGCCTGCTCCTCGGTCCTCCAACCCTTTATCCTTATAGCTAACTCCTCCTTGTCGAGCCCCCAGGCGTGCCAGTAGGGCGGGCCGAGCGTTTCACCTGACAGTTCATCACCTTTTGTGATCCTGCAGCTCGACATTTGCGACGGCTTCACGGATGGAGGGCGGGTGGGTTTCACGGTGACTCTCGCTATAGCGTCGTGTCAATCGTCTAAAAAAGTTCGAAGCAGTCCCACGGTCGGAGGACAGGTGATTTTCAAATGTTGACCTCGCCTTAGCGCCGCGCCCAATCGTATCAAAAGTGTGCCACAGTTCGAAAGGTGGAGGGCGGCTTGTTTTCAAAGTGTGGTTCTCGCTTCAGCGCTTTACAAATTCGTCTTGAAAGCCTGCAGAAGCTTTAAGGACGGAGGGCATGTTTTGTCATAGCGTGGCTCTGGCCGTAACGCCGCGCACATTCGTCCTGAGAGTTTGCCACAGCTCAACGGATTCGTGTGGTTGAAGTCCCAGGAAGTGCTGCCTTTCGCGATTCAGGGTTGTCAGGGCGCAACCGTCACCTTGATTTGCGGTGTTGAAGTGCCAGGACTGGTGTTCGTGCACGAACTCGGACTCCCAGGGCGCAGCAATCACGTTGATTCGCGGCGGTGATGTCCCAGGAATTGTGCTTTGGCACGAATGGGGCACCTCCCGCAGTGAACATGAATTCTTGTAGGGATGAAGAGGGAACTTGGAGGGAGGGCTTACTGCAACATCGTGGGTGCCTCTTGGGTTTGCACTGGTCCTCCTCCTTCTCCTCTCCCGTCCTTTCTTCTCCCATCCTCCCTCGTCGTCCTCCGCCTCGTGCTCCTCCCTCGTCCTTCGCCTGCATACACCCACAGCAAACCGTGGTCACCGAACGGGCTGCACTTATTAGGCGAACACGCCGCTCGCGCTCAAGGTGCCACGGACATGAGGAGGAAGGTGCAAGAGCAGGGAAGGGAGA